CCTCTTGGGCGATCTTGGGGGCTTCTTGGGCCGTCTTGAGCCGTCGGAGAGCCGAAAAGGCGCAAATGCCAAAATCCTTCAAAAACCAATGGAAAATCAATGATTTTGGCCTCTTCGGACTCTCCTGGAGGACCTCTTGGAGGCCTCTTGGGCCGTCTGGGAGGCCTCTGGGGGGCCTCTTGGGCCGTCTTGGGCCGTCTTGGACTCTCTTGGGCCGTTTTGGAGGCCGTCTTGGACCATCTCGGGCGGACTTGGAGGCCATCTTGGGCCATCTTCGCGATTTTTTGAGGATGTCCCGAGCGAAACGGCCGTTTTTGGGCATTGACAGATGGATTTGGGGAAATTTGCGGGTGGCCGGCGGGACGGGCCGAAGCCCACTGGGGAGTTCTTTTAGAAAAAGAACCAAAACCAAAACCTGAATCATCCAGCACGCCGTGCACCCCTGTGGCAAGACAGGGGGCGGCGGATCGAAGACGCCTACGGCGAATCACCGCCGCCCCCTGCCTTTGTGGAAGCGCCTATGTGGCCGAACGTTGAGGCCAGACCTGCCAAGCCATCGGACCATGTGTTCCCCGAATCGGTTTGGAAAGCCTTCGGGGAACACGTGGGCGTCTTGATGGTCATCGTCGCCGTCTTGGAGGCCTCTTGGGCGATCTTTCGGCGATCTTTGGGGGCTCTTGGGCCGTCTCGGGCCGTCGGAAGGCCGAAAGAAGGGAAATGCCCAAATCCATCAAAAACCTTGGGAAAATCAGTGATTTTGGCATCTTTTGGCCTTCCTGGAGGCCCTCTTGGGGGCCTCTTGGGCCCTTTTGGGCCAGCTTCGAGCCAACTTCGGCCATCTTGGTGGGTTCCTGGCACGTCTGACGCCGTCGGGAGCCGTTTTGGGGGCCTTTCTGGGCCAACGGGGGACCCTCTTGGGGCGCTCCAGGGCCGTCTTGGAGGCCATCTTGGGCGTCTTGGAGGCCATCTTGGGCGTGTTGGAGGCCTCTTGGGCCGTCTTGGGGCCCTCTAGGGGCCATCTTGGAGGCCACTTGGGCCATCAGGGGGCTCTCTTGGGGGCCTCTTGGGCGATCTTGGGGGCTTCTTGGGCCGTCTTGAGCCGTCGGAGAGCCGAAAAGGCGCAAATGCCAAAATCCTTCAAAAACCAATGGAAAATCAATGATTTTGGCCTCTTCGGACTCTCCTGGAGGACCTCTTGGAGGCCTCTTGGGCCGTCTGGGAGGCCTCTGGGGGGCCTCTTGGGCCGTCTTGGGCCGTCTTGGACTCTCTTGGGCCGTCTTGGAGGCCGTCTTGGACCATCTCGGGCGCACTTGGAGGCCATCTTGGGCCATCTTCGCGATTTTTTGAGGATGTCCCGAGCGAAACGGCCGTTTTTGGGCACGGTGGCGGGACGGGCCGGAGCCCACTGGGGAGTTCTTTTGGAAAAAGAACCAAAGCCAAAACCTGAAACATCCAGCACGCCGTGCACCCCTGCAAGCAGGGGGCGGCGGATCGAATGGCCTTAGGCCCATCCCGCCACCGTGCCTGGGTTGTGGGTATGAAGCTTATTGGATGTTCGTTGGGATCTCGTGGGAGGCTTCTCGGGTGCCGCTTGGAGGCAGTTTGGACGCCTCTTGGGGGCCGTTCGGGGGCCTCTTTAGGGCCTCTTGGGGACCTCTTTTGGGCCTTTTGGGGCCCTTGTAGAGCCTCTTGAGGGCCTCGTGGGGGCCTCGCGGGGCCTCCTGGGGGCCACTTGGAGCCTCCTGGGGGCTTCTTGGGTCGGAAGGCTCGGATTTTCGGTTCGTGCTCCCTCTTTGCGGCCCATTGCCTAGCCGTCGTGAGGCGTTCTTGGGCTGTTTGGGATGCCTCTTGGCCTGTTTTGGGGTCCTCTTGGGCTGTTTTGAAACCCTCTTGGAGGCCGTCTTGGGGCAGTCTTGGGGGCATCTAGGGCCGTCTGCGAGCGTCGAGGAGCCGAAAAGGCGAGAACACCCAAATCTTTCAAAACCCACAGAAGATCCATGATTTGGGCCTCTCGGGGCCCTCTTGGAGGCCTCCTGGAGGCCTTCTGTGGGCCTCTTGGAGGCCTCTTGGGCCGTCCGGGGGCCATCTTGGGCGTCCTGGGGCGATCGCTCGGCGATTCGGGGCCCCCATTCGGCCGTCATGAGGGCCTCCTCCTCCTCCTCCTCCTCCTCCTCCTCCTCCTCCTCCTCCTCCTCTTCCTCCTCCTCCTTCGGCCGTCATGAGGGCCTCTTTGGGGGCTCCTCCGGGCCCGCCGTGGAGCCCCCCTGCGGGCCCGGAGGGGTCGCGCGGCAGGCCGCGGGGGGGCCCCAGAGGGGGGGCACGCGCCGAGTCCGCCGGGAGAGCTGGCGGTTTCGGCTCCCTCCTCCTCCTCCTCCCTCCTCCTCCTCCCTCCTCCTCCTCCTCCTCCTCCTCCTCCTCCTCCTCCTCCTCCTCCTCCTCCTCCTCCTCCTCCTCCTCCTCCTCCTCCTCCTCCTCCTCCTCCTCCTCCTCCTCCCCTCCCTCCTTCCTCCGCCCCCTCCTCCTCCCCCTCCTCCTCCTCCTCCTCCTCCTCCTCCTCCTCCACCTCCTCCTGAGGACCGAGGGCGGAGGCTCCGAGGACGAGGCCGGGGAGCACGCCCACTGCGTGCCCAGAGGCACGGTGGATATGTAGAACTGCAAACCTGTGGATGACTGGGAATCCTCTTGGAGCCAGCCTGGGGCGTCTTGACGGCCGCTTCGGCCGTTTCTGGGCCCTCGCAGGGGATCTTCTCGACATGTTGCTACTCGAGCGACCTTGGATCGATTTGATGGCGGGCATGGCCGTCTTGGAAGCCATCGCGAGCACGTGGCCGTCTTGGAGAGGTGCTGTGCGCATGAAGGGCTCGGCGCGGGGTCGGCGCCGCTAGCCAGTGGGAAACTTCTGGGAAGGCGAGAAAGTAAATGAATAGTTGGCACACGAAGCACCCTTCTGGCGAGAACAGGGGGCGGCGGATCCAAGACGCCCACTTCGAGTCACCGGCGCCCCCCTCATTTTGGAAACGCCTGTGTCGTGAGATGTCGAGCGAAAGTGCGGCCGCGCCAGTGGGCTGCACGCTCCCCCGGTTGCCGGGAAACCATTGGGCAAACCTATGGGAGGTGCCCTCCGGGGCAGCTTCGGGGCTGTTTTAGGGCTCTCTCTGTGCCCGTCTTGAGGGCCTTTGTGGGCCTTCGCTGCCTCGATACGCCCGTTTTGATACGCAGCAGGTACCGTTCTCAAAACGTCCGTGCCAATACGTTGCGTGTTGGCTCAACGATATGGCCCACGTCTTGGCGAACGCACCGCGACAGACCTGCGTTTCCAGTCTACGTGCTGAGTTCCGTATCAATACCACGCTGCGTGGTACGTGTTGCGTATCGGGGTAGCCAAGCTTTGGGCTGTCTTGGGGCTCTCTGTTGCCCATCTTGAGGGCCTTTGTGGGCCTTCGCTGCCTCGATACGCCCGTTTTGATACGCAGCAGGTACCGTTCTCAAAACGTCCGTGCCAATACGTTGCGTGTTGGCTCAACGATATGGCCCACGTCTTGGCGAACGCACCGCGACAGACCTGCGTTTCCAGTCTACGTGCTGAGTTCCGTATCAATACCACGCTGCGTGGTACGTGTTGCGTATCGGGGCAGCTATCGGCGGCGAGCGAGGGGGGAAATGAGAAGGAGAAGTCCCTCCCCGAAGGCGGCGGGACTTCGCAGAAGCCCTCGCGCCTCCTCTGAGCACTCCTGTGCGCCTTCGGGGAAGGCCTGGGGAACTCCTCGGGAGGCCGGGGGAGACCTCCGAGCTTTCTGAGAAGGCCCGCGGAAGCCGGGCTCGGGGCTATCCCGGGGTGTACCCCGTCTTGAGGGCCTCTGCGGGCTGCCCTGGGTCAGAGCCCCGAATCATCAGGGGTAACTCGGGTCAGGGATAACTCGGGTTCGTTTTTCGGGGATCCAAACCCGAGTTACCCCGGACCCGAGTTACCCCGGATAACTCGGGCGTCCAGAGCCCCGAATCATCAGGGGTAACTCGGGTCAGCGCTAACTCGGGTTCCTTTTCCGGGAATCCAAACCCGAGTCACCCCGGACGGACCCGAGTTACCCCGGATAACTCGGGCGCCCAAGCTCGGGGCTATCTCGGGGTGTACCCCGTCTTGAGGGCCTCTGCGGGCTGCCCTGGGGCCCTCGGGGGCCACCCGGGGCCCGTCCGGGAGGGGGGGGGGGCCTCGCGGGTGTGGGCCGGGCCGGGCGGCGCCCGCGCAGCGCGGGCCCCCCCCCCCGCCCTGGCCAGGACGGCCACGAGGAGAAGAGAGGGGAGGAGGGAGGGGGAGGAGGAGGAGGAGGAGGACGAGGAGGAGGAGGAGGAGGAGGAGGGAGGAGGAGGGAGGAGGAGGAGGGCAATGATGGTGAGAGGAGGAGATTGGGAAAAGGGAAGCGGAAGAGGACGAGTGTGCGACGACGAGGACGACGACGACGAGGACGAGGACAACGAGGAGGAGGAGGAGAAAAGAAAGGGCAAGAAACAGGGAGAGTGGGAAGAGGGAGGAGCAGCAGCAAAAGGAGAAGGGGGGATGAAGGATGGCGAAAAGAGAGAGGAGAGAGAGAGAGAGAGAGAGAGAGAGAGCGAGAGAGAGAGAGAGAGGAGCAGGAGGGAGGAGGCGAAGGAGGCGGAGGAGGGGCAGGAGGCAGGAGCTCCTCGTCAGCCTGCCTCCTCTTCCTGCCTCTTCCTCCCCCTCCCCCCCTCTTGACTCGTCCTCCTTACCCCCCCCCCACCCCCCCTTCCTTCCCCAGCATCATCATCATCATCATCATCATCATCATCATCATCATCATCATCATCATCATCATCACCATCATCCTCCTCCTCCTCTTCATCATCATCATCATCACCAACAACAGCATACGTACTATCCCCTCATCTTCTCCTCTCCTCTCCATCATCCCCCCCTCTCTCTCCGTCTGGAGGGGCCCCCTCTCCCCCCCTCCTCTTCCGCGGCCTCTGGCGCCGCTGCCCAGGAAGATCGAGGACGACGACCGGAAGGGCCAGCCCGTGGACCGCGTGGCGCAGCGGCTGCTGGATGAGGCCCTTCGCTGAAGGAGCGGGAGGAGGATGACCAGAGCAAACCCAAGTTCTTAAGGTGGTCAGAGGACGCGCGTGAGTTCGATCGGTGTTGTGCGGGGCCTCCCCTTGAGGAGTGCCCCTGCACTTTCGCACTCCGCCCTTCTTGCATATCGCGCTGCACACCTGCACTTGCCGTCACTCTCCCTCTCACCCCCACCGCTCGATCCCCCTTATGGGCGGATCCTTGGCCCCCACGCTGCGTGATGTGGCCTGGCCGCGCGCGTTTCCCCGCTCGACTGGTGGAACGGAGCGGGGAGGGGGGAAGAGGCGGAGGAAGAGCAGGGCTGGCCTCCTCCTCCTCCCCCTCCTCCACCTCCTCCTCCTCCCCCTCCTCCTCCTCCTCCTCCTCCTCCTCCTCCTCCTCCTCCTCCTCCTCCTCCTCCTCCTCCTCCTCCTCCTCCTCCCCCGGCGGCGGCGCGGGGGCACCGCGGTGCCGTGCGCCTGGGCGCCGGCCGGGCCCCCACGGGCCGCGTCGGCCGCCTGCCCGGGGGGGGCAGGGCCGCGGCCGTGGGCGCCACACCTCCTCCGCGTCCGCCTCCTCGTGCCCCTCCTCTTGCCCCTCCGCCTCCTCCTGCCCCTCCTCCTCGGCAGGAGGGAGGTCCAGTGAGGAAGTTAGAGGGTGGGGAGGGCGAGGCAGAGGAGAAGGGAGGAGGGAGGAGAAAGGACGAGGAGGAGGAGGGAGGGAGGGAGGGAGGAGGAGAAAGAGACATGAGGGAGGACGGGAGGAAGAGAGGGACTTCTGGTCCCAGCAAAGGTTCAAAGCAGCCGAGGCGCGTGCCAGCCGTTCTAGGCAACCACGTTGCATTGTCTCTCTCCTCCTCGTCATCCTCCTCGTGCGCCGCGTCTCCCCAGCCATGGCAAGATGGCTTTTGGACCGGCCTTCGGTGCGTGGAGGCATCCGAGTTTTGACGCTGGTGATTGAAGCATGTTGTCCGGTCCCATCTTCTCCGCCATCCCTGAAAACAATCACACCCACGCGGCGTATTTTGTCACTGTGCATGCACGTGTACCTTCTTGATTCGCACGCCGTAGTCGTCCACGTTCATGTTGCATCGTCATTATGTGCACGCCGTGTTGAACGCTGTTTCCTCCACCATGGCGGTGCACCAACCGCATGCAACAATGAGCAGGCGCGCTCAGCCAAGAACCGTCGGATTCCGGGTCGGATTGGGCCCAGGCAGGCAGGGCAGATAAGTGGCAGGTCATTGTTTGCCATGGCGGAAGCAGAGCCAAATAATAAAGCATTCAACGCGCGCCATAGGAGAAGGGAGGCGATAGGGCGCGGGCATTGCATGTTCGCACACACACAAACAAACGCGCATCAATGTATATACGCATCATCTACCATCTACCCGTCTTCACCAGCAGAGTCGTTCGACTCTACACGTACAGCTGCAACGACATACTATAACCGCACGCTCACGTGCGCGTGTTCCCCGCCCATGCTCGTTTACACCCGAGCGCTCAACCATACATTCCCACCCGCACCGCTGTGGCCAGGCTCGATGATCTCAGATGACATTTGCGAGGGAGCCGCACCACGGGGCCCAGACCTCCTCCGACCTGTTTTTTTTTGTCAACCCGCGACCCCAGGCCCCGAGATCTCTCGGCGTCGCAATTTTTTTTCAAGCCGGGCGCCATCGCACAACTTCTGGCCCTGGGGCCCTCACAGATGGATCCGGCTCGAACAACGCCGCTCCGGGGCTCTGGTCGTGATTTGTTGCGGTGTTGTATTTTGTTCCGCGCCGTCGGATCTCACGGGGGGGCCCGACGGCTTCCCTGGGGGTCGTTTTCCGTCCCGGGTTCGTTTTAGATGGTTCTCGGGCTCGATGATGTACCCCAGGAAACGAGATCGAGGAACAAACCGCTGGGACCGAACAGAGTCAGATGGTCGGAGATCTACAGGGAGGGGCTTCGAAGCCAGCCTGTCAACACGTGTCATTCAACGCGTTTTGGCATGCTGGACGCAGGTCCCCGCAGAAGCCTCTTGAGGGATTCAGGTGTGGCTCCCAAGCAAGAACCCATGGGGCCTTGAAATCAGAGCTGCCGCAGTTCGCGTTGTTTGCTTCTCGAAGGGCCAGCGTGCTAGGCAAGCTTGTCGCCCGCCCTTCGGGCCGCCCTTCGGGCGGCGACAGCCGTTCTGTTCCGCTCTGTGCCGTTCTGATCCGAAGCCGGCCTGGCTCAGGCCAGCGAAGCCCAGCCATCGAATTGCGCAGGAAGCCGCGCCCTCCTGCTCCCTCGAGGGGCCGGGGTGCCATGCAGGCTCGCACAGGGGTGGCCGACCTGGAGGAGGTGAGCTGCCTGGCGGCGCTGCCGGCGAGGCCGCCTCTCTTCCCTCGTCAGTGCTCCCTCCTCCGCCGCCTGCTGGCAACTGAGCAGCTCGAGCGACTTGCGGTGGTTATCAGCCGCCGTTGGGTTGGCCCGCTCGCCTTGCTCCCAGGCATCACCTTCGGACCCCCAGCCGAAACGCCTAGGCATCATCGTACGTAGCATGCCCAGGCACGGCCTTGCGGATGCCCAGGCATGCCACTGCTGATGCATGCCGAGGCATCCGCGTGGGTGAGTCTAGGCATCCCGCGACGCATGCCTAGGCATCTGCTACGCCCAGCTACGTTCGGCTAAGTCCACGGATACATGCATCGAGTGATGCCTGGTGGTGCCTAGTTAGGCATCGACCTTGTGATGCTTAGGCATCGACCTGGTGATGCACAGGCATCGACGGTGCGCAGGGTATGCTTCGACGCCAGAGCCACTAGGGCGTGCCAAAGCCGCCGGGAGCACTGAATTGCGGTTCCGACGTGAGCCCGCCTGACCACACATCACAGTTTCGAGGCCGTGGCCTCCACGCCATGCCCTCTGCACGGGCGGGAAGCGCGCACGGCCACTGCGCTCGCTCCGCTGATCGCTTCGCTTCCCGTCAGTTGGGCGCACAGATCTCCGCCGATGTGTTTTTTCACTTCGGGGGAGCGTAAGACCCGGGTTTGCCAGGACTCGGGTTCGCCATCGTTTTTTGACGACCGCGACTCGGATTTTGACGAGTATGAGTTTCGTGGGATGTCTGCAGCGGGAGGCCTCGTCAAAATGCAGGCTCGGCCTCGTCATTTTTTTGACGACCTCGTCGGGGATTTCCGAGTCCCCTGTACCCGGGTCTTACGCCCCCCTGATCACTCCCAGCGCTTTTCCTCGATTTCGGCCATTGTGACCCGTTGTCTGGCCCTGGGGCCACCAAAGACGAATCCGGGGCGAAAAATTGTCCCCGGGGAAGGGTCAGAAGTTCGGGGGCCGCCGATGAAAAGAATCAGATCTGGCCTGACTTGCTCCCCGTCCCTTCTCATGCCTCGCTCTTCCCCCATCAGGCCCGACGTCGCAACAACAACAAAAAACATAGCGAGATATCACGACCACAGCCCTACACCCAATGTTTCTGCGGCGTGCCTCAGGCCTGATCGATCCGTGGTGCCCCAGGGACCGAAGACGAGCGAAAACGTCCACCGTGGAAAGAAATTCAGCGCCTGGATCTCAGGACCCCCGCCTCCTCCTCGTGGGAGGAGGAGGCGGGGGAGGAAGAGAGGAAGGTCCTTTGTGGGCCCCGGAAACGGCGGGGCCGTTTTTTTCACCGTTTCCAGAAAAATGTCCCTTGAAGATGGAAACGGCAACAAAAACGGCGACCAGAAACGGCAAAAAAACTGCTCCAGGATTGGAACCAGAGCCAGAACCGGTCAAAAAACGGCGACGGAACCGGTAAACAACGGCGTTGGAACCGGCAAAAAACGGCAAAACGGAACCGGTAACAAAAACGACCTTGTCGTTTCCAGGGCCCACTAAGGGAAGGTCTACTTGATGTTCTTTGATCCTCAGCACTGTACTTTTGGCTGTCGCACTGCCCAACGGCAACGGACAGCCTCAGAGCCACCAGGGAACCGCCAGGAGGAGGAGGAGGAGGAGGAGGAGGAGGAGGAGGAGGAGTCACCAAGGAAGCCCTTCGCCGACGTCCCGTGCACGGTGCCCGACGAGGGCGACCTGGTGACGCTCCCCACGGCGCTGGGCAGGGACGCCGCGGGCGAAGAGGCCTGGCCGGGGTGTTGGATTCGGGTGGGGGGCAGCCACGAAGGGTTGATGAGGCCACGTGGCTGGGGGGGCAGCCACGAGGGGGGTTGGATACGCAGCACCCCGCAGTGGTGTATAAGAGTGACGGGGGCGGGCGCGGGATGGGTCACGGTTGGGTCGCGGGGGGAGGGGACGACGACGACGACGACGACGACGACGACGACGACGACGACGACGACGTTGACGACGACGACGCCGCAGGGCGGGGGCAACGACGACGACGACGACGAAGACGACGACGACGACGAGGACGAGGACGAGGACGAGGACGAGGGCGAGGACGACGACGTCGACGACGACGACGACGACGACGACGACGACAACGACAACGACAACGACAACAACAAAAAAAACATGTTAAGACTGTTCGCTCTTCCCTGCTCGCGTGCCATCCAACACTAATATCCCAACCCCTCGGTACCCGCCCTCTTCGTCTTCGATCGTACACCTTCTGGGGATACATCTTCCTCACTTGCCGGGTGTACATGGTGCTGCCCCTGAAACAGGGGAAGAGAGGAAGGATAGAAGGGGGAAGGGAACAATCATGGAGCGCGGGATTAGCAGGAGGGGGCTAGGAGCAGAAAAAACGTGGCATAACCAGACGGGCGAGTAGACCCGAACGGGGGGGTCGGGAAGGCGGGCCGTGGCGGCCAGGTCGAGAAGGCGTGTCGTTGAAGCGTGAAGATTGCATGCGTCGCGAGGAAGCCTCGCGTGATAGCGCGATTCCCAAGCACATCGTGAGAAAAGGCCGAAGCAAGAGCGTGATTCCTGAGTGTCGAGGGCGCGGCGCCTGAATAGATTCCGAGGAAGTCCCACGCGAGAGCGCGGTCCCTGCATCAATTGTGAGGAATTCCCACGCGGGAGCGCGATTTTGTAATGAATCCTCGGCGCCCTCACCCTTCGTCGTCGATCATACCCTCTGGTGCGCATATCTTCCGTATACGCCACGCGCATTTAGCGCAGCCCTTACAATAGGGGAAGCGAGGACAGATGGGAGGGGAAGGGAAAAGGATGGAGCACGAGAGAGATTAGCAAGACGGGGGCTAGGAGCAGAAAACACATGGCACAACCAGATGGGCAGATCGGGCGGGCAGACCGTACAGGGCGGGTCGGGAAGGCGGGCCCAGGCGGCCAGGTCGAGCAGGCGTGTTGCTGAAGCGATTCGGCAGTCTCGAGCGATGGCGTGACTCCCAAGTATGTCTTAAAAAAGCCCAAAGCGATCCACGCACTCTCTTCGCAAGAGTTGTGTAGGTGACCCTTCCTGACAAGCGGTTCATGGGAAAGATAAAAGAGAGCGAACGCATGCAGGCGCATCGGCCTTAAGCGGTAGCTGACGCACGGCGCAGACGCAGCGGACCACGTTGAAACCGAGGGCGCCGAAACTCACATTTACCAGGGCAGCCTGGACGCGAACGCCGGCGGAGTGGACGCACGTTTCACCTGGACCGCCTCGTCCACCCGGATGGCCACCTCGTCCACCCCATCCACCCGGACGACCGCCACGCACCCCTGCTCACTTGGACACCTTCGTCCACCCGACGTCCATTACGTACCCGAGCCAGCGGTTCCCCGTGGTCGTCGACAGCCAGCTGCAAGGTTTGCCCAGGGTGCGCGCGCAGAGCGTTCGGCAACCATCCGGGTTCGCGCGACCAGAGACAGTGGGCCAACAGTTCGTCTTGAGAGGGAGAGGACTCGGCTACAGAGGTAGCATCATTCCTCTCGACAGCGGACCCCGCGTGTCCGCTATTGCGCGATAGCACTGTATCTTCAAAGCGCGCCGAAGAGGTCGATGGGGCCAGTGAGCGCAGGAGCGGGCAAGCGCCGCGGAAGGCAACATAATGCCACGAATTTCAGCGAGGAAAACATTGAGAGCAGAAACGATCCGGAGCCAGGGAGGGCAGAAATGGGGCCACGAAAGGCAGCAGCGGGGCCACGACATGCAACGATACCGCGAACGCCTCGACAGGGCCGCGAGGGCAGCGAAGGGGCCAGGCGGAACGAATTGGCAACGGAAGGCACAGTGGAGCAGAGGGGCAACGAGGGGGCCACTGAGGGCATCAACGCAGCCACGACAGGCAACGAAAGGGCCACGAAGGGCGACACCGGGGCCACGAACTGCAACAAAGGGACTACGAAGGGCAACAGCGGGGCCACGATGGGCAGCAATGGGGCCACGAAGGGCGCGAGCGAGCGGGGGCCCACGGAGTGCATACGTATATGGGGCTACAAATACAAAGGGCAGCGACAGGGCCACTGAGGGTGACAATGGGGCCACGAGGGGCAAAACGACGGTGCCACAAAAGACGACAATGGGGACACGAAAGGCAGCGAGGGGGCCACGAAAGGCGCGAGCGAGCAGGGGCCACGAAGCGCATACGTATGCAGGGCCAGGAAGGGTACGGGCGGGACCACTGAGGTCAGCAAAGTTGCCACGAAAGGCAGCGAGGGGGCCACCCACAAAGGGCGACAGCGGGGCCAGAGAGGGCAGCAATTGGGGCACGAAAGGCAGCAATGAGGACACGAAGGGCAGCAATGGGGCCACGACGGGCGCGAGCGAGCTTGGGCCACGAGGAGCACACGTATGCGGGGCCACAGGGGACAGCGAAGGAGCCACTGAGGGCAGCAACAAGACGAAGGGCAGCGAAGGAGCCACAAAGGGCGACAGCGGGGCCACGAAGGGCATGCATATGTGGCCACGACGGGCGCGAGCGAGCGGCAGCCGGAAGGGCATACACATGTGGGGCCACAAAAGGCGACAGCGGGGCCACGAAGGGCATGCATACGGGGCCACGACGGGCGCAGGATCCAGCAGTATCCTGAAGGATCTTGCAGGATCCTGCAAAACCTGATTGACCCGGATCTGGATTGACCCTATTCAGACGACCTCCAGTCAAGAGGGTTCGGCGGCTCGGGAACCCGGGGCGAGACGTCGGAGGTCTCGCGGGTGAACTCCCGACCCAGTGGCGCAGGGCAAGCCAACAAAAGTAGTAGGCGCACGGCTTTGGGCGAGTACTTCGGCGAGAAAGAACAGAAACAACAGCAGCAACAACAACAACAATCAGTTGAACACTGTTCGCTCTTAAATCCCAAACCCTCGATTCCCGCCCCCTTCGTCTTCGATCATACCCCCTTGCGGGTATATAGTTCTCTTACATGCAACGTGTAGTTCGCGCAGCCCTTAACGCAGGGGAAAACAGGACGGATGAAGGAAGGGACAAGGGGGAGGGAGGAGGATGGAGCACGAGAAAGAGTAGCAAGAGGGGGGTTCGGAGCAGAAAACACGTGGCAGAACCAGACGGGCTGATCGGGCGGGTAGACTTTAACGGGTGGATCGGAAGGCGGGCCCAGGCGGCCAGGTCGAGCAGGCGAGTTGCTGAAGCGTGCGTCCTGCATGAAACGCGAGGAAGCCTCGAGCGACAGCGCGATTCCCAAGTAGATCGTGAAACATCCACAGCGACAGCGTGATTCCTGAATGTCGAGGGCGCGGCGTCTGAATAAATTGCAAGGAGCTTCCACGCGAGAGCGCGGTTCCTGCATAAATGAAAAATCCCGCGCGAGAGCGAGATGTGGGGAATAAACTGTGAAGAAGTATCAAGCGGGAGCCGCCGATGTTGTAAACCGGGGGCCAGGGGCCCAGTTTGGTGACCCCCCCATTTTCCTTGTTAAAAAGGGCGCGACCACCAGGACGAGCATTTTAATCTAACAGATATAACGGTTACCGGAAGGGAGATCAATTCAAATTCCTTTTTAGACATGAGAATTCAATACATGTATCAGTGTTCGTTCTTGTTTGTTCGCGTGCTGTTCAACACGTATATCCGAAACGCTCGATGCCCGCCCTCTCCGTCTTCGATCGTACCCCCTCGGGGGCATATTTTCCTTACCTGCCACGCAGGGAATAGTGGACGGAAGGAAGGCCAAGGGGGAGGGAGAAGGATGGAGCACGAGAGGGACTATTTGTAGGAGGGCTGGAAGCAGAAAGCACGTGGCAGAACCAAACGGGCAGATCGGGCGGGTAGACCTTGACGGGCGGGTCGGGGGAGCGGGCCCAGGCGGCCGGGTCGAGCGGGCGGGTTGCTGAAAAGCGTGAGTCCTACACGAGCCTCACGCAGGAGCGCGAGGGCCTCCCGAAGTGAATCCCGCCCGAGAGCGCGATCCCTGGAAGAATTGCGAAGATGTCCCACGCGAGACCGCGATGTTGGAATACATTGCGAGGACCCGAACATGATCGCGTCGACGCAGTAAGTCGGACGGGACGTTTTTGGCCATGTTCGGCCGCGGCGGCCTTCGCCGGGCCTCGGGACTGTCAAAAAACGGCGCAGGATGAAAGACTGGTCCTGGAGAAAGGCTCGGGCGTTCCAGGGACCCCCATATTGAAAAAAACAAAACGTCGCATGTTTGGGGAAGTATGAGCCGAGCCCTAAGATCTTCGTCTGATATTTCTGAGCCCAACAGCTCCTCTCCAGCAAGACAGTGCACAAAGGGGCGGCTGTGGGAGACGCCACCCTGCTCACGGTAATTAGGAGTCAAACAACTGCATGGGGTCACCCTCCTCGATTGTAATGAGGGTGTAACAGGACAGAGCGCCAGCCCTGGGAGGAGCATTTGGGGAAACGGGTACAAGGGTGGGAGGAGGAGCAAGAGTTTGATTTGAGATATGAACGTTCTAAACGACAAGCAAAATCACGACAAAGTGTGTGTGCGTTTATGCAAAGCATATTATATATACACACAAGCAAACATGTGTATACGTATAAATATGTATATATACATATATATACATCTAGGCAGACAAACACACCTACATACACACACTTGTGTATATATATATATATATACGCATATGCGTGTATCTATACATTGCCCCGGCAACCGGGGTTCCCAGTTCGAGCCGGCGCCGATGACGCTATTTTAAGACGCTATTCTTTGTGACGACGCGTCCTTGTGGAGTCGTTACTCTT